CCTATCAAGGGGACCTACCCCCGTCACCGGTGCCTGTATGCGGCCCTCTGCAAGCAGGCGTGCATGAAACCGCTCAGCATATGTAGGCTGATCATCAGGGCGTGCACACTGCGGCTCCACGACAAGGATGCACTCATTGTCCTCCGGTCCGTCTATGCGGACGGCGTCGACGAAGGACTTCGTAAGTTCCTCAACCTCCTGGGCTATGCCAGGGGCGCGGTGCAAACACTTGGGGCACTGCCCTTTGCACGCTTTGCTGCCCATGAACGGCCAACTGTTCGCTGCACTCATGTGAGTGAGGCTGACGGAGCAATCCGGCACAAGCTCCAAAAGCGTCGCATGGGTAAGGATACCCGCCGCAACAGATCTATGTCTGTTGGCCTTACAAACAACATGCACGGCTATGGACCGAATCCCAGCATCCTTGGCGTCGAGGATGTTCGCCAAGATGTGCCTGACGTGGGCAATCAAATTGGGATGGTCTGCGTGCTCCCGAATTATATCGGGGTTTGACCCAACATGCTTTGTGCGGTCGCGCTGTTCATCGTTGCGCTGCTGGGCTTCTGCAGGCGTCAGATCGTCTTTGCGATCGTCCTTTAGCCACACCATGTCCAACATCACCAGCATATAGCTGGTGGCAGACGCATACGTCGTGGTTGCATGCGTTTCCATCTCTTCGTGCTGTGCGAAGAGCTCGGCTGCTGTCCACTTCCCTCTGACGCGTTGCAGCCAGGCATGGTGCTCATAGCCCCAGGTAAAAACATCAATAATGATGTCCGGGTTCGCTATGTCCCCCGCATAATACGGCTGCAAGGCCAAATCCGGATTATACACGGATGCTGGGAGAGGCGTGTCGAGCTCCGGACCGTGGGGTCCTCCACCTGCCATTATAACCAGGTTCCTGCCATGCGGGTCCTTCTTCACAACCGCATCAAACTCGGCCAGCTCGCGGTGCCCTCTTGCAATCTCCTTCGGGTGCACTGTGGCACGAGCTGCTGGCGGAATTCCTGGGCTATCCCCAGGCCTGGCCTTCTCCGTGGGAGGCGCCTTCTTGGGCAGTCCACTTCCAGGCGGCGCCTTAGGCGCAGGCGCGGAGAAAGTGCCTCCTGCCGGTGCGGCACTGTGGCCGACCGCTGGTGACTTCGCCATGGCACTGTGGCCAGGGTCCGGCGCTGCAAGAACCTTCGGTGCAGCCTTTGCCGTTGGGGGCGCCTTCTTAGGCAGCTGCCCCTCTGCTGCGGCCATCGCGGCGGGCTCCGTGTCTCCTACGGACGTGCCTACCATGCAATGGTTCGGAAACGCTACGCTTATGCGTCGCTTGGTGTTGTTGCGATTCTCAGCTGTCGTTGTAAAGCTGTGACCGTGGCCTACGCCTACAGTGCTATGACCATGGCCTGCATCTACAGTACTGTGACTGCGACTTGTTGCCACTGCGTCATCTGCCGCTGTTGCATCTCGGGGTGATCCGCTCACGGACTCTGAGTGAGCTAAGGCGGCGGCGGCGGCAGACCTAAATATAGGAACTGGCGGCGAGGGAATTTGGAAGCTCTTTATGAGACGGGGTTGTTTCACCTGGGTCAAGCCTTCTGTTATGTTTATGCATAACAGCCCTGAGTCATGTGTCCGACACAGCTTGATCCTAATGATGCTATCCTCTGAAGGAAGTCTAACACCACACTCACCAAACCGAAGATCTTTGGTTATACCAAGCTGGGCCTGCGCGTAAAGGGACAAAAGGAGAGGGGCTGTACCCTTAATCTCATGCGAATCAAGGACGCCCGGAACTCTCAAGTCCTGCTCCAATCCCATTATAGAGAAAGGTATGGTCCTGCTACCCAAGGTCTCGGTAGCGCCGCTAAGACCCTTGAAGGTACGATTGCCCTCAGGTTTAAACCTCGTGCTGTAACCGAAGTTCGCAAGTTTCCCCGCCGCGTTTGCTATCCAATCGCTACCGTGAACAGTCGAGTTACAGCCCTCATCCAACACGGCGTATACGTGCTTATCCTCGTAGATATTTACTACGGGCAAATCAACCAAAGCCGGATGGATATCTGTGACCCCCTCAGTGAAAGCCACGAAGGCGTGCCTCGTCGCGGAGGCCCTCGAGGAGCGCGATCTCGCCGACGCCACTTCCCAACTGTTGTTGGTCGATGGCGCAGAGTGATCGTCTAAGGCCTCTTGCAGGTATGCGAGAAGGTCACCGCGGGATATCACGGGCTCGGTTACGAAGTGACCCTCTATGGTCTCTTGAAACTGGGCAATAGCCGGAACTACTACCTCTACGGGGAGGCTATCCCCCGTGCTGCCGACTATGCTGCGCAGAAGATCGAAGTCCAGGGTGTTGGACTCCCGCAGCACTGTGGCTGCGTCATCCCTAGCCTTTCGCTCGGTCTGCGGCTGCTCATCTAGAAGCATCCCACAAAGCTTGCACTTAATGCGGGAGGTCTTCCTACTGCTACCCGACCTCTCGGTGGAGGTGTGGGGGCATGTGGCCTGATCTATGACAGGCTTCTCTTTCTTCGTCTTGGTGACGGTGCCGCATTTCTTACAGGTCCGCATGTCTATGTATGCGTTACTCTCCGACTTGTTGAACTCCTTGCAACCTCCCCGGCATTTCCGGGGGCCTTCGCTGGACAAAGCAGCTGACGCGGCGAGGCGAACCTCGGGCTGGAAGGGTTCAGGCGGGGGTTCCTGGCTGAGAGGGATATCCCTTCTCGTAATGCTAATGGGGTTATCATCACGCACATCAAAGTACTCCGTGACCCAATCCAAGAAGTCGGCCAAATTTATGGATGGGCACTTCTGCGTGCGTCCCCAAAGAACATACCCAGGATACGTATACAAGACACGCTCATAAGTCAGACCCTTATGCTGACCAAAGGAGAAAACGCGATCGGAACCCTCAGGCGGGCTGTCACGCATGATCCTAGCGGCGGCTGTGCGCCGAAGCTGTGGTGAGAAGAGGGTTTCATTGCCGCGGCCTTTGCCGGTATTGGTCTTTGAGGGAGTCAGCTCAAGGTTGGCTGGGTAACCCTCGAGCCTACCAGCGCTCGCATTCGACAGATGGACACACTCTGTGTCATCCTCCTCCACTGCGGCGAAATACGCCTGAGGCTTCGGCGCCGCCGACTTTGCGGCTGCATTGGCAGTTCCCCCAGACTGTGCTGGGGTTGCGGTGCCCTTGGAGCCATTGCCCTTACCGCTAAACTTGCAGGCAGCATCTCCGGCCCAATGGCCGATCACACCGCACTTCAGGCACCTACTCTTTGCCTTAAGCTCTGCTAACTTGGCCTTACGGTCAGCAATGGTCAAATTGCTACGCACGACCTTCCCTCCGGATTTTCCGGGGGACTTGCCCTTGTTCTTCCCCTTTCCTTTTCCTTTCGCCTGGGCAAAGGCGGTCTGTGCCGCGTACGCAAGCTGAACTGACTCGGCATAGGAATCATCCAAATCGTCAATCTCAGCTTCATATGCCACTGCCGTATAGGCGTTGAGTTGCAATGCTAGATCCTCATCATCAATCCATTCATCCGCATCATCTCCCCCAGACGCTGTGGCCTGGTATGCTTCTTCGCCGTAGCCGTCACCGTAGCCTTCCGCGGATTCCTGTTGTTCCTGGTAACCATACTCTGCGGCACTACCATCATACCCCATATAGCCGAACTTAGGGTATTGGGGCTTAGCGTCGAAACGTCTCCAGGTCTTACCTGGGCCACTAGGGTCCTTCTGGGTAAGAAGACGTTCCTTCATGTGCACCACTGAGTGATGCTGAACAAGGACGCGTGCGTACTCATCCACGCTGTGTACGCGGGCGGCGGTCTTGACCATTAGCTGCTCGGACCTTTCCAACCCTGAAAGCTCAACAAGGAGATTAGCCCTCATTGCTTCAGAAAGGCGGATATCAGGATCCAGCTCACGCAAGGTCGACCACCACCGCTTTCGGCGGGCTATGTAAGACAACATAGGCTCGCCAGGTTGCTTTGCAAGTGGGCCCGTCAGGAGCTGTCCCTGACGGAAAAGTTCGGACGCCTCTTCGGATTGAAGAGGGAAGGCTTGCCTCCTGATTTCTTCTATCAGGTAGTCGACGCCGTCATGGCGAAGCAGACGTTCCAGGCCGACGTCGCGAGCGATGCAAAAGGCATCTCCTCGGAGACCCTCTAGGATCTTGCTAACGCATTCGCTCATGTCGAGCGACTCGTCCTTGACGTCTCGCAAGGTGTACACCGCCGGATCTGTGTCCGGCTCTTGCTCATCGTCGCCCGCCACTTGGCTGGGGTGCGACGGTAGCGACTCCGCATCCTCATCTTCTGCCTCGGACGCGGGCTTAGTCCGTTTTGCGCTGGACGGACTGGCGGGTATACCGCTGCTTCCATCACCATCTGTGGGCGATGCACTGGTCCCCTGACTTGCCCTGCCACGCCACTTCCTTGGTGACTCGCTCTTGGCCCTTGCCGACTCGGCAAAACGCAGGTCCTTAAGAGCTTCGCGCCGCTGCTTCTCCTTATGCTGCAGCACACGGATCTGTGTCCGGAAGCACCAATCGTGGAAGCCAGCAGCCGACCCGTCGTATATGTACGAGCCGCTTTTGGTTTCTGCAGGGCTCAGGTTCTGTGACCAGAGATTGGGCTGGTAACGCAAACCTGCCACGCTCATGGCTTCGAGGATAGAAGGGGCCTTTGCGCCGCGACTATCACTACTCTACCCAACGGACCCCGGACCACAGGCTCTACGGGGGTGAAACACTAGTGGTTGTCCTCACAGCTCCGCTACCAGTTTGAAGCAGGAACTGGATTAGTGAGTGTCCAACCACACAAACGAGCACACTTTTTGGTCTGAGCCCAAGACGTCTGTCGTACAGGGTGCGTTCAGAACTAACACAAAAACTACGCTCGCATGAGGACATGTCAACACGGCGCTTCAAGACAGGGAAATTTCACACGGGTAAAAATGGAGGGCCAAAGAGTGCAGCATGTTTTCCGGCCGCCATCCCCCGCAAATGACTATGCCAAACCTTCCCTGCAGAGAAGGCGCTGCTTATATCCAGCAGCAGAAATGATCCAGAGGAGCGTGAGCAGCAGGCTCGTGCTCTCGTAGGATAGCATGATCAACACCTCATGATCTGCAAGTGCCCCGGAGTGTTGCCCAAAGCATGCTACGTAGTTTACACCACGAATCAAGCATGCTTGCGACACGTCGCACTGTGAACTTCGAGTTTGCATGTGCCTTCCAACCTCATTCCTGTGTGACATCGCATGATCATCGTAAGCCCTACACGACAGCCGAGCGATTGCAGCATCGCAGCGTACCAATGAAGAGTGTGAGACTTCAGGCGAGATTTCCGAATCAGCACAGTGCAAACTGAGGCCACGGGCATATCTTGCAACCCAGTCAAAATACACGGCTGCCGGCCACACCGCCATTGAGGCGATCTCGGTTGCACGAAACTCGAAGCTTTTATGAACCGCCTGTGGCAGACCTGCGCTCACTCGACTCCGGGGCTCGAGCATGGTGTACCAGCATCAGGTACCGCTCAACTTTGGAGCTCTGGGTGAGCTGCCACCTCTCTACGCCAGATGCTGAAGCGCCTTCGCTCTGAGAAAAGCCGTCTTACCGCCACTCAGCCCGAGGCTGGCTTAGCAACAGCAAATCTGCTGTGAAGTACCCGATCCTCAGCTCCAAAAGCTGCACCGAACCAGCGTGGCATCCGCAACTGGCAACAGGGCTCTGGTGCTGAGAAATGGAGCACAGATCACACGCTTAGAATCATTGATTTTGCTGCAATGCGTGCTGCAGCTGCAATTTGCTTCCGTGGGCAGGCAGCCAGAAGGCAGCCAGAACTCATAAGAACTGAGCGCCCTGTTACTGTCAAATCAGAGGCTGAAGCTACATTCCCCCAACGACGTGACCATGCAGATGGCATCACGACAGAATGGCAACGACAGACTGGCAGGAGCGGCAAAAAGCCCAGGCTCGTCACAGGGGTCAGCGCCCTCGCCTCAGCCCGGTGAGCACGACATGCACGTCTGCTATCCAATGCTCCAACAGTGACTGCAACGATCGGATCATGCCAGAAAACAACGGCGTGCAAGAGTGGTTCCAGGGCCATCACTGCACTTCTCGCTTCAGACCCTTTTTGAGCAGTGGGCTGCAATGCCCTGCAGACCCTAAGCCGCAAAAAGCCTTGAACCCTAAACCCTAAACCCCTGAACCCTCTGCCTTAAACCCCTGGACCCTAAACCCTATCCAAGCCACGGCCAAAGGCGCGGCAGCCGCACGGTTCATGAGAGCTGCAGCCTGCCAGACAGAAAGCTCTCAAAGCCGGCAATCCCGAAAAGGCCCTACTACAACCTACACATATTCAATTTAGATTTTGGTGGAACACCTTCTTCCGATCCGAGGTTTAAGGTTTTGGGACTAAGGCTTACACATGTACGTGTGAACACCTCAACACCTACATGCAAGCCAATGCAAGCCTCATTGCAGCCGAAGCAAGCGTACAGCCTCGGAGTTCGAACACAGCAAGTAAGCAACCGTGGCTTGCATCTTCGAGCTGCTTGCACGCTCTTTCCAGAACGCTGCAGACCCTTGCCTGATGTACAGACTGCAACGCGATCTGCCGTCGTTTGCAGATCTTTGCAGCCGACGACGACGTGTCTGGATATTCTCTCTGTGCAATCGCGGAGCTGCCGAATGACTGGATCTTGCCACATACTCAGCAATGCCAAAGGCGTTATGAGTCCCTGGCACACGTGCCGCACTCCAAGCATGCGACAGTGGCAAGGGGCAGTAAACGGAAGAACATGCGCAATCAATGCTCCTCGAGTTCATTAGCAACGACACAACCACTTTGCGCAATTGCAAGGTCATGACATCGGCAAGCCGAGTGGCATGATGGGTAAGATTCATCCTTGGTGCAAGCTCTTCCTTCGTAGGGTTGGCATGTTCGGCAGACTTAGGTTTCCACGATGGGCTTGAGCACACTGCAATTAGGGCATGGCAGCTTGGTGGCACGCACTCGTGGAGATTGATTGCATGGATCCAAAAACTTGTTGCACGAAGCAAGATTAAAGACCGGTGGTCGGGCCAAATGTGCATCTTAGCAGCAGCTTCAGCGCCCAAGTTCCGCGGCGGACTGCGCGAATCTGGTCTCCAAATCCTGCTAGTCTCAGCAGCACGTCGTAGGCACCCTCGGCGAAAGCTTAGTAGCTCGGTGGCGCAGCATGTTGATGTAAACTGCTTGAACCCGCTCGCGAACTCTTTAGTTGCACGTACGTGATTCACAACATGGCCGCAGCGGCTCGGACCTAATACCTTGCCGTTGTCTGCCCTCTAAGCTTCCCATGCGCACGAAATGAACAACCTCACAATCTTTTGCTCTCTGCCGGCAAGTGTCCCAAGCTATAACGAAGAAGATGCTGTAGGGCAGCGCCTTGGAGTAAGTCACCACCTCGGAAACGGGACAAACTCAATGCTGGGTCGTCACCGCTACACTGGTCACGCCTCGTCGTCCTGCATAGCCGTGGTGGGCTACATTGATCGTAAGATACGGAATCAGTACACAGCTGCATGCGCCATGTTATGATGCCTTGCGACATAGTCGGCATGTGTTGCCTGCTATCGAGACATAGCAGCAGTGCATCTCTTGAGATTCTGACGTACATGGACAGCAGCGTCCCATCACCATCGAATTCCAGGCTGTGCGGAGCTAAAGACCAGTCCATGGCTTCACATCCACAAGCTGTACAAGCCACACCCTGCAAGTTCACAGAAAGACGTGCAGTGAGTTGTGGATATAGGAACGGCCGGCATGCAGCTGGCTCCCTGTTCATCTCAGCTCAAAAACTGGCGCATCATGAATGTGATTTCACTGTCCTTCCCTCGGACAACCGACTATGCAGCTCTTGACAGACTCTGTGGCGGCGCATCCACACGTTGCAGAGATCAGAACTACAGGCTGTCACAGGCTACACAACACTCGACCAATCATTTACAGTCCTGCGCTGAGGTCCTGGGCACGCTTGCCATCGTGTGCTGGAACATCCGGTGAAGCGCGCGCCTTTTCAGGGCTCGGATCTTGAAACGAGTGCTAGTGCCTGGTCTCCTGTGTGAGAGCACCATCTCGCCGCAAAATGAAAGAGTCTTTGGACTCCAGCTTTGGCCGTGGGCAAGGGTACGAACCACAGGCCCGCCTGAAGGAGTGCCTCCACAATGCTGGGATGCCCTGGGCAGCGTTCGATTTTACTTTGTGACACTCTCCGGCATGGCTATCAAAGTAAGCAACCGCCGCAATCCTACATGTCTGTTGTTTGCGTCACGAACACTTGCATGGCTACAGCGCTTGTAGCTCTTGTTTTGGTCTGACTTGAATTCCGCGGCCTAGAAACAGCAGAACGCAGAATGCGCTTTTCGAGCAGAGCACCCAGGAGGCTGGCCAACTGCACCTGCGGAAAATCATGCTTCACGATCTCCAAACCGAGCCACACCTAAATCCTGGGCTGAGAACGGGAGTTTCGCCATCCCGGCCAGCAGCGTCCACCTCGACTGCTGCTACAGAACTTGGCCTCCACACCGCTACCTTCTCATGACACTCAGCATTGCAAGAGCCAAGACTCCGACAGACGCTTGAGCAGCAAGCAGGATCTGCACGATGGCTGCACCTGCAGGCAACTCAAAGAGCAGCAACAGCAGCATCCTGCTCGGTACGTGCTCATGAAGCTTCTCACCAGGCTGGAGACGGCCCTGGCTTTTCTCAAAAAGCTACTGAGATTGGAGTGCTCAGCTTTGGAGCCTCGCTGATCGGATCACTCCAAAAGGAGTCAAACACATCCCTGCTTTGGGAATGCCACGAAAGCTCTGCTAACTCTGCGACGCTGCTACACCGCCGAAATCCATTGCTTCCGGACCTCGCCTGACCTACAGCCTCTGCTTCGCCAAACGCCCGTTGCAATGCACCCGTTCAGAAGCGTGTTCCGGGGAGCCGATTTCCTGTTGCTCGAGTCGGTGGCCGTGATCGGAACCGGGGCTGCCGCGCAGTGGCCGGATCGCCCCTTCGGGTCTCCCTCCTGCGGCGATGAACGAATCATGACGAAGAAGCATTCGCCCCAGGCCCAACGCCTCTCCTTCTCCTTCGTCAAGTCGTCAAGCCGGCTGGGTCAGCCCAACCGTCCCGGGAGGGCGACTTGCAGGGCCGTGCACTCAGCCGAAAACCTCTTAGAGCCACCCCCGGCCTGACCCCACGGCTCTTCAGGCAGGGTGTGCCCGAGCATGTCCTCTCACATCCACTCGTCAAAGCAGAAACCTCTTGGATGTCCGACTGCAAACCCTCTCCGGCAAGACATAGGCCACACAAGTGTCGGAGAAGTCGCGTCCGCGAACGTCCCCGCCTGAACATGTGCGCTGCGAACTACAACTCCCATCCAGCGCTCTGCTCACTGGGCTCCCTGCAGGCACGCCAAACCTGCACTCCGATTGTCATAGAATAAAACTGACTTGCTTGGTTAAGACCTAGGATATCAGAAATCAAGAGTTTGCATTTTGCAAGGCCTCGCAGGCCGTCTTTCGCAGCCCATGGCAAGCGGCAGTGGAGCCAGCCTGTTTTGCTGTGAGTGCTAGTACCAGTGTAAGCTCGAGGACATACCAGATGCCGGTGAGTCACAAGGCTTGTGGGTGCATGAAGGGTTTGCAAGGGATAAGAAACAAAAATTACATGCAGCAAGCTTGCAAGTACTGTTACTACTGACAGCTAAACCATCGACAACCATGAGCAAGACTAGGAGCAAGCGGTATTTCCTGCTTTTGGTCTATCGTTGCGGTTACTGCCACTTGCTACCACAGCGATAGCTTACTTAATGGCTTCATCGGCCCATCGGCAAATTTGCACAAATGACGCCCCGAAGCATGCGACCTAGCCCTGGTAACTGTGAGAGCCGGGGCCTGCCCTGTGCGTGTCCGGCAGGCAATGCGTTGCACAACACCTGCAAGGACTGGATATGCTGGCTTCTGTCTTATGCTCAGGACAAGTAGTACCTCTGCGTGGATTATACCCGATACTGCCAACCCGCCCTTCGCGGACAATAAAGTGGCAGCAGCATAATTAGTAGAGGCGGTGATCGCAGTAGCAGCAGTAGTCGTTGTAGTCGATAGGGGGTCTACCAGTGGCAGTAGTAGTGGCAGTGGTCGAAGTAGTGGCGGTAGCCGTCGCAGTCGCAGTAGCAGCAGTAGAAGTATTAGTAGTCGTCGTCTTGTCGTCGTTGTTGTTGTCGTCGTGCTGCCGCTGCTGCTACTGCTCCACTACCGCTACCACTACCACTACTGCCACTTCGACTACCGCTACGACTACCATTACGACTACGACTCCTGCTCCCACTCCCACTCCTAGTCCGACTCCTACTCCTACCGACTACTAACAATCGGATCCTTCACAAACAGAAGTGACTGTTTGAAGTGGGGTTCTCGAGTGTGGACGCTCATTGAGGCTTGCTTCAACCCAGCGATGCCGGATAAAGCAACCCCGCAGTAAAGACATCAAAAGTTTGCAACTAGACTTAGATTCACTAGACGCCTGGATTGCAACTGATGCGAAAATGAAAGGATATGGTGATACGGGCAGACATACTGCAATCACCAAGGTGACGCCCCTCGCGTGACGCCTATTGCAAACCCGGGGCGCCTTAAGTCATGCACCTCGCTGCAAAACAAAACCAGCCATTCCCCATGTAAATGCTCGATTTCGCAAACATCCGCTCAAGAAAGACATCAGTGGCACTGCAGCAAACAGCAAAGCAGCCGCTTCCCTTGTAGACACTAGATTTCACAAGCATCAACTCAAAACACAGGTGGCATCACCAAACATCCAAACTTAAGGAAAGACCGCGAACTAAAGACAAGTCGATGCGACTTAGCCCATGTACTCAGTACTACCATCACATACCATCACTATGGACGTACTGCTTGCAACGACAACGAACACAAGAGTCAGGATGACGATGAGCAATAAGAATCACAAGGTCGGTCGTGACAATCGTCCGAAGAGTGCTGATCACACGTTTTCCATGCTGATCATCATGTTAGCTGGCTCTAATCGCATTCAACGTCATCATCATTATCATCAACATCATGTGGGAGGAACTGTTGTCACTGCGCTGCACTTCTGCCGATGATGTCTTTCTGTGCTGCGCTCCGGAGCATTAGAGAGACATCTTTGACAACAGGACAGGTATCAACAACGCACGCACAGAATATCAGACCAAATTTGTTGGGACATCGCGAATGACAAGCGAACGTGCTCTGGATTTACTGCTGGGTTTTTGAGGATGTAATAGGAGGGGGCCGACTTGTCCATGAAATTGTGCCAAGACTACGTACATGGCTCAAGCTGCTGCTGCTGCTGCCTGCATGTTCGTCGACGCTGGAGATTACATCGCCGTCGGGAACCACCGCCACCACGTGGCGAATGCCTCTGCTCACAGCAGATAATGCCTCCGGCTCCTAGGTCCTAGACTTTTGCATAATGCTGCTCTGAGACTCTCTGGCGAGACGTCGAAGCGCCGGGCCGAATACAACAAGCCTGCTCATCTCTCCGCCAGGTACGTAAAACTGTCCCGCAACTGCGTACCGTTCCATGCTCGAAGGAAGCTCGCTTCAGCGCCCTGCAGGCCCAAAAGCAGTCCCAAGTCTCCCAAGCTTCCCACTAAAAAAAGCAAATTGAACCCAAGGCCGTCCGCTGTCTGCCTGGTGAAGAGAACACAAGGGCGGACAGTTGCCGCCTGAACTTGCCAAAGTTGCTCGAGTCCAAACAGAAACTCAGTGCATCGAACGCTGCAAGTAGCACACGCCGGGTGGAACTGACGAAGCATCTGCAGCTACTTGCCAGCTCCGGAACCCCTAACGCCTTCCCGCCACAATCTGGGCAATGCAGCCGCCCAAGGAGTGTCCTGTTAGCACCTCAACATGAAAGGACGGTGAGCACTCCGAGCTACAATGCTTCTCTGCTCTGCCAAGCTCAGGCATGAACTGAGACATCCCTTTTCCTGTGGTCCTTGTCGATGGCATGCTCGAGACCGTCCCACATGTAAGTATCTGCCAGGCCTGAGACTATCGTAAGCATGTGTCGCATCAACAGGCACGCCAAAGTGCAGTGATGATCACGAGAAAGCTCAGGTGCAACCCTGCAGTGCAACAGACTGAGCTGTAACGATCGCCCAAAGCTACTATACCTTACTGTCTCATCCCTCCTTCTCATTAGACCAAGCGGCCGGTGTGGCCAACGATGCTTTGCACCAGTGGCACCGGAAGCAGAGACAGGATCGGCACGATCTTTGAGAGAGCTTGCAGCACCTGTCGAAAACACATTGAAAAGTTCGGAGACTATCGCCTCCCAGCTGCTTCTTACGAGACACAATGTAAGGACAACCTGCCCAAGCGGCCTCAATCGTCGCGAAGAGCTTGATATCAGCATAAACATCTCTCCAGGAAGACCTTGATATTCGACAACTTCGACGTGGAGTGAAGAACTATTCGCTCCTCACGCTTGGCCTGCCTACCCCGAAGCAATCGCTGCTGTCCAGTCACGTGCCTTTGATGGCAAAGACTCGCGTGTCACCTGACCGAAGAATACGCGCTTCAGAGGATCACTAAAGCCTTTTGGTACGTACAGCTTATTGTGTCAGAATGCTGTACCCAGAACAGCGTCAGAACAGTGGAGTCCGGTTGACACGGCATCTTTGGCGAGGTCAAGAGCAAACAAACAGGGATTTGGATGTGAATCCTTGCAGTTGCATCCTCCGAACAGACCAAGCGGAAACCTCCACCCGGACGGCGCGCGGGGAAGCGCACAGAGATCCAACGTGGCAGCTCGTCGTAGCCGCGGCATGACTCTAACCTGCGAAAAAACTCCATGCACCGAGTCTGCAGCCAAGAAGCTCTGAAAACGTGAAGCTTGCCTCGGCGCGTGCATACCGCTGCCGAAGCTTTCCTGACGGCGGCAGAGGCGTATGCCATAAACACTAGCAGCATGGTGTACTTTCACGAGGCCTCCAGCAACCGGGGCACTGCATTGCAATCGACCTGCACGGAGCAGGCGCTGGAAAATCCTGGCAGCATCTCAAGCGCGCTGACCAAGCGCACCTCATAGGCGATCAATGCCAGAGATGCCAAGTCCTTCCAGGTCACAGCCGCCAAGCTAGCTACTTGTAGCGTGCTGTTTCTCAGTCACATGTACATGCTTCGAAACGGGCTTGATGTCATTCTCTCACAAGTTATCTGACCTTACGTTGCACCACAGACAAGTCTGCCCACAGTCCAGCACGGAGACTGGAGCTTCTTGGGATCCCCAGGTAATGCGGCAAGCCGCATACGGAGGCTCGGATCGATTCCTCAGGGCTTGCACGACTGCGTCTGTTTGCACGGATTGCGTGTATTTGCACGGATTTAATGTTTACTTGCACGTTAGCGTACATTTGCATGCATTCACTGTGTTATAGTTGCACGGATTTAGTGTGTATTTGCACGGATTTAATGTGTATTTGCACGGGATTAAACACGGATTTAGTGTATATTCTCGCGGATTTAGCGTCGCGATGAATTCCTTTTCAAGCCACCCCATTCAGGATTCTTGGGCTCGGTTCGGGATTAGGGCCTCATGCACAGGCCCTCTGGCTGGGTGTCCCATTCTGCCGCGGTGCCCACGCCAAGCATGTGGAAGGTCCGTGGGGCCGGTGAAGATTCCTTGAGAAAGGGATCAGGGCTGGTTTGCATCATTTTGCATCCGGTGTCTTCCGCCCCTCCTTTTTGGTTGCTTTGCGGACCTGGCCTGGCATGCGCATCAGCGGCTGCACAGTCTTCGGACCAAGTGCGAAGGAGCCTCCAACCTTCCCAGCTCGCCAACCCGTCGTAAGAAAGATTTCTCTTGCAAAGCTCGCAAGAGCTCTTCTGTACCTGCAGGCCCAGTGCTGCACAGACGAAGAAGATGAGGATCACCGTGTAGAAGGGACCTCACAGTGGCTCTTTGGGCTACAAGGAGATCTTCAGTCTGCAAAAACGTTCGATATGCGGTCTATCCCGCCTGCCACATCGGGAAATGCCATGGCCATCTTCACAGAAAGCACAGTGACCTCGGCACACCGGCCCGACCCACGGTCTCCCCAATGTAAAGCTACATATTTCACTGCACGTCTCCCCTGCGGTCGGCAGGCTGGCTCTGAACATTTTAAACCGGACAGCTGAGATCTTATCACATGAGTTCCAGAGACACATCCGCAAGCCCAGTAAAAACCTCGACGGAGGACCTTGGCCCGGCACGGCCAAAAGTCCAATCCACCCCTCTTGGCCAGGGGGCGGTGAAAACCATCATGATCGCGCTGACGGCGACTGGGAACTGAAATCGATCCTGGAAGGCTGTGAAGTATCAAATGCCCGTGCGTTTGCTGTGTAGGTGTGCAGTTGTGTAGGTGTAGATGTGCATATTATGTATCCAAACAGTTAGTCGTAGGGCCTCAGGAAGCCTAGCTGACGCTGAGGACACCTCCAGTCTGGGTTGGACAACTTTCTCATCTTTGAACCTGCAAGCTACCACCGGCGGGCTATCTTCCGGTTTCAAAACAGAACTCCCACTTTGCTCGACATTTTAGCAGATGAAGTGTGCTGTCCTGTACGGCCAGGGCTGACACTGCTGTCCATGCCACCAGCGTCACCGGCATCAACGCATTCTGCTGTGTGAAGGCGCAAAGTGACCAACTCTCCAGCCTCAGTGCAGGGCTGTGTCTGGATGACAAAGCGGAGATTGTCAGAAAGGCACTACTCAGCTTACATCAAGGCACATAAAGCCCCTTGCACGCTGCCAGGCAAAGACGAGCAAAGTGGCAAAGCCTCGGCTCGGCTAGGTAGCGGCTGTCTCCGCCCTTCGCTTCCGCGCTTTGGGTCTCTGAGAGCTGGGCGCTTGCAGCCTTGCTCGCGGTTCTGCTGCAGGGAGACCTGCTCGAAGTGGGATCGCAGGAGCTCCTGGGCCGTGCCACGCCACGCCGTGCAGATCCGTGCAGACAGGGCTGGTATGAATGCAGGCAGCTTCTGCAGCCAACACACATATCGAGCTGCAATGGTTCCCGGACAGATTTTGTGCTTGTCCAGCACATGATAAATGTGCCGAAGTGCCTGCGTCAAGCTGGAGAGTTTGTCAAACGACACACTAAGCTTCGATTGCTGCCTTTGATCAACTTATGTGTACAGCTGGTCCTGACAGCCCCATACTACATGTTCGATCCAGGCGCTTGTTGTGCCCGGGAGCCGTAGATGCCGATTGTGACATCGGCTAAAAGGACGACGAGCGTCAGCCCAAAAGCTGCGATGAGCCCGCCTTGCCGAGGCATGGTATGTGCTGCGCGCTGGCGCTGCAATGTGAAGATGTACTTGCCCCCCGGCCTTGCATGTAGCCGTGCCAGAAACCTCGTCGCTGCACGAGGGAACGGCAGCCGAAGCACAGCGGCACAACCTGGCGGCCACGAGAGCCGTTGCATCCTTGCACCTGCGCGAGCCCATGCCTCGGAAAGGCCGATGATGAGCATGTCCACCTCAGAGAAATTTGTCGAAACTCTCTGTGGAGCTTCGGCGGAGCGCAGCGGCCGCCCAGGCCACTGGCCGCCTCGCACGTGGACCGCGCCGGAGCGAGGCGCCGGTCTCTTTGGACCGCCGCCAAGACCAGGGAGAGGCACCTCCCCAGCAGCCGCAGCGGGAAGGGAACTCTGAACTCTCTGAACTCTCTGGGTCTCAGGTGTCCCTGTCCCTGGGCACCAGAGCAGCGGAGGCCGGTCAATGGCGTCGATGACCTCACGAGACGCGAGCAGCGAAACTCCGGTGGAGCTCCGGCGGCCGATCGTGAGTCCCGAGGTGACGGCCAGGTCTCCCATCTCGTCCCCGACGAGCGCGAGGAACATCGCTCCGAAGGGCAGCAGCCAGAAGCTTAGCCACACCTCAAGATGTCAGCGTGTAGCGGACAGCGTAGAAGCTCTGGCATCTCTTTATCGCATCAGGCCAGGCCTGCTGACCGACGCTGATGTCTGCTCCAGCAGCAAACCTCATTGCAGCTCACGGACAAATCGCCTGCGGCGTGAGCCCACAAGCACCGGACACTGCAAAGAAGAGCTCCGTGATCGTCCCGGCAAAGAGGGCCAGGGCAGTGAAGAGCGCGCATCTGAGCTGTTCTGCGAAATGTGAAGACCCCGCAACACATGTCCTCCGTGCCAGGAGATTCAACGACTTGGCTACTCAGTTCTGGCCGTTGGCACATGGCTGTCCACGCACGCTGCGGCTTGCAACTCTCGTTTCATTGTGTCCAGAAGGAAACACGAGGCTCTCTCCTTGCTGGTCTTTGCAATGCCAGAAATGGCCTGGCGGGTCCTTCTCTGCTGTCTCCACAGAAGATGATGCCGTGTGCCATGCGCTTGATCTTGGCATCTTTACGGTCATGAAGCCTGAGGGCTGCTTCCCAAGCCGGGGCTTTCCGGCCGTGTTTCCCGGCATTCCGGGCTGTCGGCCTGAAAGCCTCCACCCTGGCTCTTTCCTTCTGCGGGTCTATAAACAACCTCCACCTCTCCCCATGCCAGTGCGGACCCCCGTTACAGTAGGCGGTTTCGAATGAGCAAAGGACGCACATGTGCTGAGCATCAAGAACGAGACCCTTTTCCCCCGATCGGGCTCACTGCACGCCCAGGCTACGGTCTTACAGCAGGCTCGCTGCAATAATGGCCGCACTGAGTCCGGTGCAAAAAGAAGTATGACCATCTTATTCGAAGCGAGCACATATAGACCTTGGCTGGCAGGAGGTGCAGGAAGTTGCAGTCAATCTTTAGTCACAACGCGAAGGACGAAACGAAACACCAGCCTCGCCACAACATGATATCTGCTTGCACAACGCACCCATCTCCTCCAAATCTTATTTTTCCGACAATGAGGTCGAGCCACAGAAAGAATCGGCATGTCTTCCATTGGGTCTACTTCAAAAGGGAAGAGCCGCCGTATCTCCTTCAGGATTCGCTGGACGAGCAAACATACTGAAGAAGCCTCCCGTAAACCCCTAAACCCTAAACACCGAATCCTCACCCTCTACTCAGGGTACGGCCCATCCTTGACGGCAGAAAGGATCTGCTGAGGTCTCTGAACATCAGACATGATGACCCAAGCCATGGCCACGCGCTGCTGAAACAGGGCGATGCCTGAGCACCAAGCTGAGGAGTAGGACAGTACGGCATTGTAATCATTGAATCATGGCTGGGCGACCAGCTCCCATAAAATCCCACTCCGACGGTCCGAGGGGCCATCGTGATCTGGATGCTGCTTTGCATACGTTTGGGCATCGGTCAGCAGGCCTTGGACCATCGAAGCGGCCTTCATGTGCCCCCACCCTCCGGTGTGTTCTGGATTCTGGATTTGCTCTCTTGCCGCGGGGCTGAGAAAGCGCTGCCGCTGCTCCGAAGCGCGCTGGCGTGGTGTGGAGGTGGCGTGATGTTGCCTCGGGCTTGCAGAGAGGGCTGAGCTCTACCTCACGACAAGCAGGATCATTGCCGAGCAACTCAGAACTGCTCAGCAGTGGTTCCATGAGGGGCGTGACGTCCTGCACGCATGGAAGTGAAGATCCACGGTGCACTGATGCAGACCCCAACCTGCAGGGCTTGGCCCCTGAAGCAGCTGCGCAGGAACTTGTAAGCTGCGGAGACCGAGCCGAGCTGCGACCTTGCAGTGCTGCGACGAAGCAAGCGCAGTAGCCAGCAATCGGCACATCAGAGCGAGTTTGCAAGCAAGCAACAGTTGCGCTTGATGCGCAGCAGTTTCCAGGTCATCCAACGCCTCGGCACTGAATGACCGCTCTGTCTCTCCGTCCATCAAGCATACATGTAGATGGAAGATCCCAGATAAATAGATCATGGATATCTAACATGGAGAGACCGATCTGCAGTTGGCAAGACTGGAAGAGTAGAGAGATGGACAGACGGGTAGGCAAATGCCTTGATTGAAGGACTGACCGGCTGATGCACGGACGACACAAACCCACACAAGCAGGCGGAGAGCGTCGAGAGACACAAATGCAGACTCACTCAGGCACAGAAACACAAAGAAACAGGGAGACTCCGACATTCTGACTTTGATGCTTCGCTAGTCTTCGAAACGGCCTCGACTGCAAGAGCCAAGAGCAACATTTCATGCAGAAGCGCAGGCAAGGCGCTTGTCAAAAGTGCCGTGCTAATTCAAATGCCATGCAGGTTATATCACGAATTCGAAAATGACTGTACGACTGTACGATGGGCATACTCTTAGACGGAGTCCAGTCACAGGCACCGAAGTCCTGTGAATTTTCTTCTTGCCGACCCTTGCCACTTAGGCAAGCGCCTTGACGAGGTCCTCCTCCAAGCTGTCTAACATGGACAGGTTCTTCGCCAGCGCAGCAATCTGCAGATGTGCCAGCTTCCTCAGAGCTCGAGGCTTCATGTTCAGGAAACAGGCCGCCACCTGCAAAGAGAGCACTGTGCTCTCGAGAGTGTTTATCAACATGGGCCTTTATCATAGATGGGAGAACCAAGCGTCGGATCCTGCTGCCCAACGAAGGCTGGCTGCGTCTCAGAGCGGAAGAAGAAGTCATCAGACTCTCTGCTCAACAGCCGCTCAAAGCCTGAGCTGGCGAAGGCTCTCGGAGTTCCGTGGCGCCAAAGCTGGCTGAAGGCCGGTACTAGTCTTCTCAACTGCAGACCAGAATCCATCTTCCAGAGTGCTGCCCTCAGTCATGACAACAATGACAAGCGGAAGATGCTCTGGTGTCATTGGAAGTGTAGAGTGTGTTCGCACCGACAGCAGGTACATGTAAGCTGCTTCGCCAAGGCACGCCGACTCGGCGCGCACGCCGCCGCCGAACAAGGTGCAGGGCAGAATTCATGGGTGTCGCACTGTCACGCTATGTGTTGATTCGTGCTCGTGTAGTCAGTTCAATATGGGGTCAGTATGCCGGTTGTGGTTTTCAGTGCATGCAACAAGTGAGTGATTGTCGAATTACAAGAGCATTGCAAAAGATACCTGATCCAACAGGCTGGATTTGTGGGCAAAACACAAAAGCTTCAGCATCACGACCGCAGAAGGCAGTGTTGGCACCGGTGTGGGCTTCAATGATCCCTTGCACATCCCACGGTCGGCACCGCCCTTTGCCGATGCCAGGTGAAGAGGTGTCCAGCTCCGCTGGCGGTCTTTCACCTGGCTCTGTGCAGAACAGTGTGGGGTTGCTGCTTGTGGGGATGAACATGTTGTTGCAGCTTCAAGCAAGCGCGAGACCGAGCCCTTGGAATCCCCCACGGTCACTCTCGGCACTGGGCCGCAGCCTCCATGCTCGCTCCACGTCGCACCAGCTCCTGCAAGTTTCTGCAGAGGTCTGTGCGTCGCAGGGTTCCCATCGCAAAAATGTTGAAGCTTTCACCCCGCTCTCCCTTGCAGGTCCTCCACGAGGCCAGCCTGCCCTGTTCGCACGGCCTCCGAGTGATGGAAGTGACGTGGGTGCACATAATGCCCCCTCCTGGGCGACCCACAAGAACCAGGGCGGTCTCCCCTGCCTCGGACAAGGGAGGCACTTGACACTCCCCCGGTTTTCCAGAATTTCAGCCCGCCTTGTCCTTCTCATCCACGGGTGCCCCACGAGCCAGAACCTGATCAGGCACAAACGCTCGGGCTCTTTGCCGGTGCCAAACTAAACTTGCTCCTAAATTAAACACGGAACCTAAACACTGAACCTGGCAACCCTGCTCGGCAGTGCTCCACCCGTTCGGACTTCTGTCTCTTTTTGATAGGAAAAGCCGAAAAGCTCAGGGAAACCACCCTAGCACTAAATCTAAACTCCTAGACCCAACCTCTAAGCCCCAGACACAAACCCCAATGCCACAACTGAAACAACCCCCCGAACCACGAAAAATCGCAGCATCTAGAGCTGGCTCGCGAATCGCTAGGTTGAACCGGGCGACGGTGGTTCATTCCTTTTTGAAAAAGCGGACCAACAGCAAGTTGGAGGCAAGACATGCTGGTGCGCACACTGGCTGAGAGCAGACGACAGACGAAGCCAGCTTGCATGCGTTTCCGTCAGTGCACGGCATGTGAGCCGAGCTTTTGGGTCAACGATAATGAGATTCGCGAGTAACCTCTGGCTGTACGAGTCCGTTTGGTTGGCACGGGGTAGCTGGCTGTTTTGAACTTCCTCGTTGACTCGACGACGTTTTGTTTAACCAGACATGTCAGGATAAGGGGCCTGCCTGAGAGCACTTCAGGCGCGCTGTAGCAAATAGTCCCCAGTCCATATTGAAAGACTTCGCTAACATGATAAGAAGCGGACTGCAAAGGTCGCCAACACAGGCTTTGGATGAGGACATTCTCTGGCTTCACGTCTCGACTCGATGGAAAAGCCTAGATCACGCATGTGGCTTAAACCACGGCACATGTCGAACAAAATGTCCACGGCGCCAGCGGGCCCTGCTTCAAGGAGCATCGAGGCCAGTGAGCCCGCCATAAGTCAAAGCTACTAGCCGATTGATTAGTCGATTAGCTTGCGCAACTTTCTTGCCGACCGGAGCATCAGCTTGAGCAGGAACGCAGTTGGCGACAACCCTGGGAGACAGGGAACTGACAAAGCCGGGCACACCTCATGCTCCAGTATCATTGCACAAAGAACAAGCCAGTCGGGCGCAGCAAACCTTCGTCGCGAACTTGGCCAAGGGATCGTGCCAAACAACATTGCATCCGCAGACTAGACCATGGGTTCGATTGGATCACAACAGGTCGGTTTCTTTGATTTGTTCTGGAGACTGGGATTGTTGTCCTCGTGCTTTGTTTTAAGGCTTGGCGCGCAGGGCTTGGACAGGCGGGCTTTTGTCGGATACCGGTCGAGAAACGGTGTAAAAGCGTGCCTGACTTGCACGCTGCACGTCGCCGTCGGAGATGGCTTGCAACAGCGCTGACCTGCAAGGAAGCTCTGTCGAAGAACAACCAGATGTGCAGTCGACATGTTGGCTTAAGCAAACGAGCCGGGCTGACCCCAGGCAACTCATCCGAATATCACATCGGGCGCACTGCGACTGTAAAGTTTATGTACAAGGGAAATGCAAAATCTTGCGACAAATCTTGCATCTAGAATCCAAATGTAAACTCCAAGATCAGGGCGGGCGGCACAGACTACAGTAAGATATTTGCTTGACAGGTGTGCCAGCTTGACTGTCCAGTAGACATACATGGCGGCAAGCACTGAGTCTTGCCAGGCTCAAAGGATGTCTGTCCTTGTTCATGATTGTGTGGAGAGTGCCAGGAACATCTCGCCCAACACTGCCGAGTGGTGCTGGAAGCTGCGAGAGAACGGGCAAGCTTTCGGTCTTCTGGTGCATGTCAAGCTCGGGGTTTTTATGATCCAGACTGAGGTAGGAGGAGGCATGTGACGGCAGGGAAGCGGGGTCGAGCAGCGCAAAAATGCTCCAGGTGCCCCGAGCAGGACCGGTTGCAGATTGGAGCTTGGTGGCCTCGGAATGATCCACGCCCCCCATAACCACCATGCTCAGGGATGTAATGAACTCTCTTTGGCCCAGGCATTCGCAGCACTGAGGCCGAGGTACAAAGCCTTTCAGATAGGGATGTCCTCGTGGCCCTCTCTACCAAAGTCACTCTCGGCATATATCGCTCATACTACGTGCGTGCAGGCACCTGATATCCCAACTGTTCTCACTGCACTCTCCCATCACACAAACAAGCACAATGCAGCTCCGCGTGCCTCCTGGTAGATCTCGCAGAGAGATGTCAAAAGCTGGAGCGGGTCACAACATGCAACTCGAGATCCACTTGCCAATGCAGCTCGACACTATAGTGTATAACAGTATAACGGTACGACTCTTGAATCTCTTGCCTCTTGCCACCAAACAAAGAGCCTGAAACAGCCTCGCCTCGTCCCAGGAGACGCACACACGAACTGCCGAGGCCTCCTCACGGGGCAGGCTGGATCGGGCACTAGGCTTCGGCTTCGACACATCCCAGCCTCCAGCTCCGGGAATGTCTCCGAGAGTTCCCAGACCTGTTCCATAAAAACACAGGGGCACCGGGCACCATCAAGTGCCTCTGAGATTTTGTCACGTGTGAGCTTCTGTCTTGCCCGCCTGCTGTGCCGAGAAGCCTTCTGCATCTACCTCGTGCAGAGGAACGCTTAAACACGCGACAAAGTACTGGGGTGCATCTCCGGCTTTGCAAACTTCTGCGTGCAGTGTGCAGATGAAAAGCTTGCAACTTTGGGCGATGCATCGGAACACTCGTGTAGGAGCAGATGGAATGTCAACTGCCAAGGGTAACAAGCCTCTGCTGTTGGACTTCACAACATCGATTGTAGATCTGTTTGGTGGCAGTGACGCCCCAAGGATTGCCTAAGGGGACCGTGCTTCTAATTCTCCCGTGCGACGGGCAAATCTCACAAGTCATAAAAGGAGCTCTGAACGCTCCTCCAGGCTGTGCCATATCTGCCAAAACCCGGGACACTGCGCGGATGCACTGCGCCACTCTGGTCGTATGTCATGCAAGCAAAGCAAGTTCTCTCCTTCAGAGACAGCTCACCAGCTGGAGCCTGCTTGTTGGCCCCAAATTTCAGGCGCGTCGTTGCGAAGACAGTGCTTGGAACTGCTGTCTGTGCCCTAGTTTGCTGCGTGACATTGCGTGACCGGACTAATGCTAAAGTTGTTTATATGCTTCGGAGGACCTGTGCAACCCAACGCAGCAACAGAGCCTTGGCAACTGCCAAACGCTGGAAAAACGCGAAGGTTGGACTGGCTTCTAGACTGCGGGGCTCTGCCACCAGCCACGCCTGCCGACCCATTCGCAGTGTCTCAACGCCTTCCACTCCTTTCTCTAACCTGTTCTTATGACATGCGCTATGCCCGTCGGACTGCTGCAGTTGCGGGTCAACACTAGATCACTTCAGGCCTTTCAGGCCGGAGTCCCTCAAAATGCAGGGCTTCAAAATGGTGGTTGAGAGTTTCGGGCAGGGCGGCTGCAGCCCAAAACATATCTTTGTCAGCATCATTTAGACACAAGTTCGCTGCCGTCTGCCGAATCTCCATGGTACGTTCGGGTAGTTGAACGGTCTGAATTCTGCAGCACATTGCGGCGATGTCCTGCAGCAACCGGCAAGGCAGAGGACAAGACATGAGCACTGTCGCAGCTGCACGGATGCTGAGAGACGACTAGCACAGAATCCTTTGCCGCATCATGCTGCGAGTCCAAAATGCTGGACATGAGTTGTACCCATCACACACACACACGGTAAACGACAACTGAATCGCGCCACCGAAGTGAGAGGTAATGACCGTAGGGCGGTGGAAGGTGGGGCAGAGATTCCTCCATCAGGGACTCGATTCGACGTAAGGCATCGTCTCTCGGCACCCAAATCCTTCTCGCGTGAAGGGTGTGACCGCGAGTTGCTCACGCCCTGTTTTGCATCGCCAAGTTGTGACTGATACCCACAACCCATCGAACCCCATTTGCCTCCTTGCACGAGTTGCATGCAAGGGGTGCCGTCCAGATCCAGCTTGGCACGCAACTGTATCTGGCTCTTGCTCACGCTGGCTAGACGACCTACCTACACAGAGCAGAAACCTGCCGCAACGTCAGCCCTGCCAGTGACTTCATGCTTGCAGAAATGACAATCGCGAAGCTCCTCAGCACTGTGATCAGTCATCGTCCTCCTGGTCCGAGAATGTCAAAACTTCCCGTTGCTATTGCGTCACATGTGCTCACCAAAGGGGCCTCTGCCTCCTCAGGATTCGGAAAGAAGTGGTAGATCTGCCAGCGGTTTCAAGCGCCGTGCAATGCCCGTGCAAGCCTCTTAGCACATCGCCTTACCGCTTCTGTCTAAAGACGACATACAGCACCTCC